GAAAGGGTGGGGAGTTCCTGTTGCTCTTTCTGATAGCTATAAATTTGTGCAACGGCTCCCCTAACGCCCTCCCGCGTTCCCTCCCCACAGCATCCTCCTGCCGCCCTTCTTCCCTCTCTCAGTCTTTTCCCGTCTAATGTAGTTGTGGTTGGTGTTTTGGGGACAGAAGACACACTTGAATATCTCTCCATATTTCCTTCCTCTTTCTCTCCACGTACATTCTTGGCTAGTCTACAAAAACATCGTAATAGCTTTTTTTCTCAACTTGTCCTAAAAAATATCCTGTCTATTTAGCTCCTTCTCACATTATGACCTGGTTTTGTTTTGTTTTTAGACTCTCAGGTATTTGATGGCAGGTAGGGTCCGAGAGACAGGTGGCCTTCATGATCCAACACACGGCATAGTCTCTCCTTTGGGATGCTCCCCTTTGGACAGGTCCCATCTCTTTGAGAAGGAAAAAAAAAGACCCTTTTCATCTTTAGGTTTAATTTAGCTTTTTTATTTTCACAAAGGTATACTGAACTCTCTGGATTCAGAGGGTAATTTGGGGTTAGTCAAATGCCCAGATGATTAGAGTTGAGGGCTGAGATAATCCTTTAAAACAGTGTCTTCTCAACATTTTTTGTATTCGTTATTCAGTTTATGAGACAGCCGTTTTTACAGTGACAACTGTAAATGCAATGCCCATCAGAAATCGTTCATTTTGTTTTCTGGCATCACTGTGATGGTACCCTGCTGACAGTGTCTTATTTACCTGCAAGACAAAGTCTCAAGGGTTTCAGCACGCGTGTCATCTCTGTTGCTAGCTTGACAGTCTGCCTCTTACCTCGTACAAGTAGCCCAGTTATCTCTCTTCTAGACCACGTCTCATGCTACATCCAGCATAATGTCCCGTCCGATGCACATCCCCATAGCAGTATGTTACCCTCCCTGGTGACAAAGCTATATTTTCAGGGTCAGCAGACTTCTTCTGTAAATGAGCCAGACAGTAAATATTTTTGACTTTGCAGGACACATGGTCACAAACTTTCAGAACAACTTGTACAATTGAATAGAAAAGTTCATTATTGCCTCTCAGAACCATTTCTCTGTTTATTTCTAATCATGGAAGCCATGTAAGTGCCCTGTCCTGACTCTTCGCATGAGCGGCTATCTGCCTGTTACAGCGCCCGACCTTCTCTAACAGGAAGAGACAAGCAAGGATGCTTGTTATCTATTATTGGCGCTTGTGATTTAACACTTGAACTAAGACCAAGAACAGGGCAGGCAGGAAGAACTCAGGATGCAGAGACGCATTCATTCCACATAATATAAAACTGTGATAAAAGATCTACAGAAGTTTACAATAGCCACAAATGCCGGGTTGTCAAAGTGCTAACGT